AAAAAACATACATGTATGCATTTAGCACTTTTGTATTGTTGTTATTGTAAATCTGCATATCATTTTCCAACCACCTGGAGGTATATTATCTCTCACTTTGAATGGTATTTTCTTAAACACAATACAATATGTGATTAAAAAACATGTATAAACATTCTATTATCACTGCTTTTATAATAGGGAAGATTCAGAAGAAGAAAAAAAGCAAAACTTCAAGTGAAGTAAACAAGTTATTTTTGATAATTCATGAACCCTTCCAGTTTGATATGATTCTGTTGCAATCTTTTTATTGGTTTTCAAGGTGGGAATTAGAGATGAACGTCCAGTTTTGGGTCCAAACACAGGTTCAGTCTGAATGCCAGGCTTGCAGCCAGTTCAGCAGGAGCTGAACATAATATATAGTAGCAGGTTTTTCTCCCGCTACTATATATGACACCTTCCTTTTTCTGCTGTCAATGGTTGTTATGAAAGCTGTGCGTGCCGGCTTATTTCATTCCGAATCAAAATTCGGATAAAATTTTTGTTCAAATACATCTGAATTTATGAATTACAATAGTAACAAATTTAAACAAATCCAAAATATCTAAACAAAATTTAATCCAAAATAATGAATTATCTGAATTTGAATTGAATTTGAAAACAAAAATTGAAATCGAAAAAAAAAACTGAATTGTATTATTACTGACTATTGCTGATTTCCTTCAAAGATTGTGTGTATTAGTGTACCTAAAAGAACTGATATTGTTTTGAAGCCAAAGGGCATTTAAATGTTGATTTGAGGCACATGTGCAGCTGACTCCCAAGATGGCCCCAATGTAGAGCTGCTCCATAGCCACCTCCGACATCGCAGCGGCTACAACCCGACACACGGGAACCAGATGCTCCTCAGAGGATCAACTCCCCACACTGTCCGGTACAATGTTCAATAAGTGGAAAGTACCAGCACAGCCGCAAAGGTTGACAGACTTTTACCCAGCCTGGGACCCCAGATCCCAAGATGGTGCCAGCACCTCACAGAGCGGACATCCCGCTCCTGCAGCTGATGACAGCAACTGTTTTCCAGAACACAGGCTTCTCGTCCCTCTGTATGAAGGTGACCCGGGTGAGTCATCTCCCCCTCTCTCTCCCACAACAAAGAGCCCTGCAAAATCCAGACCCAGTGAGTCACAGGCCTCAGCTACTCTATATACCCCCACACTACAACTACAGTCAACTATTGAGGAGTTTCCAGCATCAGACCAACCTGTGTCTGAATTATCCATGAAAAAAATGCTTCTCTCCCTAAGGCCGACTTTACATAATGATATTACTAACGTGATAACCCCTATTTCAAACACCATTTCTGACCACTCAAAGCGCTTACAACATATTGAAAACAAAATGTTTGATGTGTTCGTGGCCCACAATACGGTAGTAGATGCACATGTGGATCAAGAATTGGAGATCCTTCAACTATGAAATAAAGTTGTGGACTTAGAAGACCGCTCCAGAAGAAACATTAAAATTTGTGGTATCCCGGAAACAATCACACCCGATGCACTACTTTCATACCTGCAACAATTAATGAAACACTGATACCGTCAATTAATACAATGGAAGCCACAGTAGACAGAGCGCACAGAATCCCAAAACCAGCATTTCTACCTGCCTCACTCATGTACTTGCAAGGGTCCATTTCTACCATATTAAAGAAAAAATGTGTATGGCGTCAGCAAGAAATCTCTCAGCATTCCCAACCTCCCATGCAGGGTTAAAGCTTTACACAGACCTATCAAAGGAAACACTCCTCAACAGGAAAAAAATTATTTCTGTCACTAAAGCTCTCAGAAATCACAATATAGGATACAATGGGGCTTTCCTACCAAGCTCCTTGTAAAATATCAGAGTAAAACCCACGCCATAAGAAATCTAGATGAAGGAATCAACCTGCCCAAAGAATGGAATATAATCCCAGAAGATGACCACCACAGTATCAATCAGCAATCCCACCGAATTGAGGGTGACTGGACATAACTTATATCCTAACACGAGTTGGATTCCTGGCCCATCCTAACTTCTGATGTCACCACAATTATCCGAAATTACCAAATGCTCACCGCAAACTTTTGAAATTTTCCGGGTAATACCCGGACTGCACTTAAACCAAGTTACTGCCCCCAGATGCCAGTAGCCTTTCAAGCTACCCAAGACTATTGCATTTTAGCAAGCTTTTTCTATACAGTATATAAGTTTTTGGTTTTCCCCCCTGAGTTCCTGCCAGTCTTCATCACTCCATATTCAAATTCCAACTTATCGAAATCTACATATATTCCTTCTACCTGCAAGTGACTAACTCCCACTTGACTTATCACCACCTTTCCAGAAGCCAATCTGCTCCAAATCTTCTACAAAAGATGGATACGCACCATCTCCTCCACAAAGCTAACCTTATCTACAATGCTTAATATCATATCATTAAATGTTAGAGGACTTAAGGCTACGTTCACACTATCTTTGTCAGCAGGCGTCAGACAGGTGTTTGGGAAGTGTGTTTAACGCTTCTCAAATGCCTATGAAAATTCTGCACATGGTAGCACACAGTGCTGTTCACACTGAAGCGTTAGCGTCAAGTCACGTTGAGTCGCTGCAAAACTGACACCTCATGTCCAGTCAGGAGGAGTTGAAGCCTCCCATTCAAGTCTATGGTGCTACTCCTCAAATGCCTGGCAGGCGTTTGCGGGGCAGTTGGAAGGCGGTTGCGAGGTGTGGAGCTTTAATACCATTTAACTTCATTATAGGTATTTGTGGTGTGGTTTTAATGCTTGGCAAAGGCCTCAAAACCGCGCATATGGCATTTGGGGAGCATTTGGGGAGCATTTGAGGAGCGTTAAACACGCTTCTCAAACGCCTGTCTAACACCTGTCAAATGCTATAGGGGCATCTGGCAAGAGTTAGAAATAAAGTCAAGCGTGAACGAGCCCCAACTCTCCCTTCAAGAGATCGCTGCTAAATCGAGAGATACAAGCGCTACATGCGGATGTTATCTTTATCCAAGAAACCCACTTCGAAGCAGCTAAAACAAATCTACTCAGACTGAAAAATGTCTTTACAAGATACATGGCATCCCATCATAAAAGGCTAATGGAGTCTTAACTGCAATCAAAGATTCTATATCTTTTCAACTCACATCTGAATACACTGACCCTCAAGGACGCTTCCTGATCTTGGTATGTCTCATCAACAACACACCATTCACGCTCATCACCATCTATGGCCCCAACTCCAATCAACGCAGATTCTTCAAGCAACTAATAAATAAACTCACTCCAATGAAAAAAGGCCACTTAATCATAGGCGGAGATTTCAATCTAGTGGGGAATCCACACATGGACAGATCATCTTGGAAAAGATCTCCAAAACACAGCTTGAACCAGTTTCTGTATGATAATGATTTATATGATGTCGGGAGATGTCAACATGGCTCCGAGCGGGACTACTCATACTACTCAGCTTCCAAATTATACTCTATAATAGACTTTTTCCCTATCTTTCAAATGGACTCTACAACACATACTGTATCATCATCCTCAATAGGATCAATATCTTGGTCAGACCACACACCCATTTCTATAATACTAACTACACCAGGCAGATTACCCAACACCAAACCATGGAGATTAAACTCCATGATCCTAACAGATCCAGATAATAAAATAACTATTAGAGAAGCACATGACCTATTTTTCGCAGCTAATGACACACCTGACATTTCAATCAATACACTTTGGGCCACTTTTATGAGAGGAATCCTCATAAAAATCAACTCTCAAACACTCGCCCACAGGAGGCTCCAAATTGAAGAGTTCCTAACATCTATCAAAAATAGGGAAAATATAAACAAAAATAACCCTTACCACATCAAAGCAACAGCCTCCTGTTTTTTTGGCAAAAACTCTTATAAACTCTAGATTATTGGATATCGGCTTCTCATGAGTCAAAATCACCAAATTCTTATTCCTGTAATGCTTTATTGTGTTGCAAAATGGTGTTAGAACCCGAGACAGTGTGGAGAATAACCTTTCACATGATGCTGTGGATACCCTAATCACCATACCAGTTACATACAGTGCATGCAACTCTGGGAACAGACCTTAATAGCTTCTGACATGTGTGCAAACAGGTCCACCTACTGTATATGGTAAATTTCTTGAGCAACATTGGTTTTGCAACAAGAATTTTATTTTTAAGGCTATCACTGCCAGCACATTTTGAGTCTATAAGCAGTTGTAGAGGGTTCAAAAGCACCAGACTTACAAAATAAGTAGACTGAGGGAGAAAGCAGTCCCCTACAAGGTCCAGATTTTGCTTTGAAAACTGATTTTCAAGTTCAGCAATGGCTGTGTCCAGAATGTTTAGTAGAGCTCTTTTTAGAGACACTGACTGTGTTTTGGAGGAATCAGTCTCAGCATGACCCAGAGTAGAGAGCACAACACTGTCTGTGAGCTGCGTGGTCATTGTCTCTTTATTGCAGGTGGATTATATATTTGTTCAAACTGAGTGCATGAATGATTTCCTTGCATATGTTCCAGTGCTTGCAAAGAGGATGTGGTAACTTCCCCAGCACTACAGAGGTCTACTGAGCGAGCTTGCAGAATAGAATTAGCCAAATTTTGGGAACCAAAAATATGAACAAGAAATGTACCTATTTCAAAGAAATTCTGCTTCCCTAGATGTACTAATAACCCTGATGCTTCTGTACATATATCCATTCCTGCAGCAGTATTCTCTGAATTCTCAGAGAAATGATCCAAGATAGCATGCTGGTTTTTAAGCACACCCCTGGTCACATCATAGTGACTGGTCCACCGTATTTCTAGTAGTCTTTTCAGAGATTGCCTATTGTAGTGCTATGTAATGTAGAGACAATTAAATATTGAGTAGAGTGAACCTGATAACTCAAAAAATTTTTGGCATAGGGCTCAGCTTGCATAGCATGCACACCTGCCAGATGAAGCTGATGGTTGTAACCAGGGGCGGACTGACCATTCGAGCACTCGGGCACTGCCCGAGGGCCTGGCATCAGTAGGGGGCCCCATGAGATGCCCCTGGTACCTTTCATTGGCTTTTTCATTGGCTTTTTTGGGTGTGGGCAAGGACATAGGGGCCCCATGATCACCTATTGCCCAGGGGCCCCATGAGTTGTCAGTCCACCCCTGGTTGTAACAGTGTATGTATGATACATGTTGGCCAATCTTTTTCTGTAGCAATGCCTGCACCTCACCTCTATCTCTACTCATTACAGAACTACCATCATAGCACTGACTGATTATGTTGTCAGTACTGTAGCTCCCATCTGAGAGATGTTTCAGTATCTGTGCTGTGGTGTACTCAGCATCTAAATGACTCAGGTCTAGCACACCAATCAGGTGTTCCTCAGTAGTAGAGATATGAACAAACTGGATGATTACTTATAGGTTCTCTGTGTTGCACCTGTCCCTTGTTCCATCACTGCTGTCAGCCTTGTCTTTTTTATTTCTTGCAACACAAGACTCACAATAGTTTCAATTACCTAATTTTGCACATTATGAGATGTAAATTTTGCATTTTGTGGGGTGTCATTTACTATGCCTCTGAGTTTGGCATCCATTAGTAATATGAATTCAAAAAGCTTCAGGAACAGTCCTGCAGACACATTATTTTCTTTTCTAGACTCTGGGCTCTCAAAGGTCCCACAGAGTGCCAACTTATTCACAGCCAGGAATTTGACCGCTTTCAGAATACATTTTACATAGTACCTATTCTTCTCAATCTGGTTTGGACCCAGCAGGTGGGCTACAGTCTCGCTTGTTGCCTCTCTCTTCAGCATCTCAGCCCACAAGGAATAAGCTGGAAAATAGCAGTGACTGTATACATGCTTGTTGAATCCCCTGTCCTCCAATGCACTTTTCCAGTTAATAAATCCTTTTTTGGTAAAAACAACATTTTTGTAATTCAATGTTGCAAATTTTTTGACATGGGAAGCATGCATCTTTTTTTTACAGAGTATTCTAGACATGGTCGAGAGCAGTACCAACTGCAGCAGGACCCTGGGTAAAGATCTGCATTGGATATGATTTTAGAACAGGCTGTGATGGTGTGCTCAAGTTTAATCCATGATCTAAATCAGTGGTCTCCAAACTGCGGCCCAGGGACTGGATGTGGCCCTTTGCTTGCCTTTACCTGGTCCTTGGGGCACTATTTTACCAACAAACACCAATGATGGGGCACATTTTCCCCTATTGAAACCATCAATGGGGCACTAATCTTCCCACTAATACCAACAACATGACACTATTCCTCCCATTAAAACAAATGATGGGGCATTTTTTACTCCCACTGGCCAAAGTCTGGCCCCCCAAAGCCTGAAGGGCAGTAAACTGCCCTTTGCTTAGAAAGTTTGGAGACCCCTGGTCTAAATCATCAACTGCCGTGGCTTTTCCCTGCTCTGACTGGGGAGTCTTACTTTGGATGGAAACGTTTGGGGTACTGCTTGTACTGGGGCTAGTGCATGGGAGCTCGGGATGGTGGATTCTGTGGAGAACCACTGGAATGGAAGTTTGCATTGTCATTTGGGTCAGTGCGTACTTTGCGAATTAAGAAATGATGCATAATAAACTGCTAATATATTTTTAAAAAGACAACGAGCTAGGGAATGTTAGACAAAAAAGGCACATGTGCACACTACACTACAAAGACCTTGCTGCACTACCCTACCACACCACAGATACAGCAGATAAAGCTCCCCTCCTTGTTTTTCGGTGTCTCTAGTTCTCCTCTTTTACACAGGAAATCACAGATTTAAAATTGTTTTTAAAACCAAGCCTACAGAGACACTGTGACAGATATGTAGCAGATATCAGTAATGCTACTATGCCAGAGAGTTACAGTGAACCAGCAGGGATTAGAGAAACACTGCCAGTCAGGGGCGGACTGACAACTCATGGAGCCCCCGGGCAATAGGGGATCATGGGGCCCCTGTGTCCTTGCCCAAACTCAAAAAAGCCTTTTGAAAAAGGTACCAGGGGCATCTCATGGGGCCCCCTACTGACCCCAGGCCCTCGGGAAGTGCCCGAGTTTCCAAATGGTCAGTCCGCCCCTGCTGCCAGTATTACTCCCTTTTCACAGTAACAAATCTGCAGCAGATCTCAGTAATGGCAGTATGTTATAGAAAGATGCAGTAAACCACTTCTAAATTCAGGCAGCAAGAGCTGGTATTGCTCTTTAGGCTGAAAGTACAGATGGTGCAAACCTAGCCCTCCGCTTCCTGCAGTGGAAATATATGTCATCACCATTGGTCTTGCTCTTTTCACAGCAAACAATGCCAGGCTGATAGGGCATGCATCAGAGCTCCTACTCCCTAACACAAAACATAACTGGGCTGAGAGTGGATTCCTTACACAAAGTGTCAATCTGCCCACCCAACAGAAGAAAGTTGCACTCAGCCTGGTCATGGAGCTGAACACTTTACATACAGGATATAACTGAGCTAAACGTGAGAGTCTACTGACAGCTACAGAGGTGTCAATCATGGCTCAGGATGTCTGTAAAGGAATCCAGCTTAGTTATCTGCTGTGTGCAAAGAGGAGCTGGGCTCAGTGATCTATGACCAGTCCCTGTGAAGTTTTGTTTTGTTTTTGGTGGGTGGGCAGATCGAGGTGGTCTGTAAGGCACTGTGACAAGCTCCTCTTCACACATGGCACATGACTAAACTGAGAGCCAGCAGATTCTCTTACAATAAACAATCTCGATGTGCGCACCTACCAAAACAAAAGAAAAACTACTCTTGGTCTGGTAACAGACCACTGAGCCAAGCTTCTCTTTGCAGAGAGCACATAATTAAGCTGGATTCCATTACAAACATTGGCACTGTTTGTAGGTGGCTGCATCTACAGTGTGTTGTTCCAACACATGCCAGGCAGGCAGGTCTGGGAGAGCGCAACTGAAATCCAAGGGGACACAGCCCACCCCAATACACCCCCTAGATCCGGCCATGGACTTGGATACTTTATTTGAGCAGCATCTAATCTTAAACATAGGGCAGCCTGTGCAAATTTTTACTGAATTATACTATATATAGAGGCAAGAAAATCATCACAATGGAAACAATCTTCGATGAACTCAAAGTAAACATTTTGCAACTAGACTGGGTGAAGGGTCTCCCAGTCGTGTGGAGCCATTTGGTAAGCATGGCTCCTGGATTATTTGTGTAGGATTAATGACAGAATAAAATACAAAATGTATCTCAGTTAGCTGAATCTTATGTGCACTACTACATTCTATAAATCTTATGAACCACAACACATAAATATTTCTTTACGGACTTTTTCAGGTGCTACAATAATCACAACATAGTTTCATAAAAACATTCAAATACACCATGGTTACATGAATTTCTTGTTTTCAAATACTTTTTTTATATTGAACACATCATTCACACTTGAAGATCTTTACACACACCACAACTTATCAGATAATGTCTTAAACATTTATCACTGAAGATAAAATTTCCACTGAAGCCAAAAGATAACTGGTCCAGTGAAAGGTGGGTGGCACTCTACACTCAATGAGTTTCACAGATTATGATGACTGTTTCTGTTGGAGATTCCATGAGTGTTTGTAGGAGTAATATCCATATTGCACGTAATGAGTGCCCCATAACAGGCAACTAAAGTATGGTCCCAAGTAGGTTAAATGTAAAATTTGATCTTAACTGCTTTTCATTATGAGTAACGCATAAAAAAATTAATTTTAGTATTTGTATTTGATGGTAAAATGCTCTTTTATATTGCTGTATCCGTTTTTATCAATATTGTGTTGAGGATTTGGTTTAATCTGCTCCTTTAGGAAAAAATAAAACAATGGAGAAATTTTAAAGAATTATTATATACTCTATAATGTTTAACCTAGGAAGACTAATATGGATATTAATAATCAGATAAACTACCCATGAGATGTGGAAAGAAAGCGACACTTAAAGAAGGAAAATGTTTATGGATCACCAGGGAGATGATATTATTGAGACAGGACATAACATAGGCCCAAAGGCCCAACAATATCCCCAAGCAGATCAGTAATATGGCATGCATAGCAAACAGCAGTTGTGGCTGAATTGCATTAAGAGCGTGAAAGGCCTAAAGGGACATGGTTAAATACAAAACAAAAGACTTCTTGTACCCATAAAATATGCTTTGATTATTGTTGAGTCTCACACAAATGGATAAACTGTAGCACAATCATTTTAAAAAATGAAATTCTTCTATTTCATATGATAAAAGATTCTTTCATTCACACAATTCAGGTGGATGGAGGAATCCCCCTTCTGGGACATTGTATTCTTTTTATAGCATCAGACACCGCTAGAAAACACTCATCATCCCATGTAGCTGATTGGCTGCAGCCCCTGACCAATTAAATTTTTTCCAACATGTCCCTTCAACAGAAGCTGACCAATTGATTGACTTCTATCTTACAAGGACTATCACACACCAATTGAAATTTGTCTGATCTCTGCTGAATTGGCTCGATTTTGATAAGAGTATGATCAGCTTAACACACACAGTGCTGAGGTCAGTGCATGGTTTAGAAGTACATAACACGCACAGTGCAGAAGTCAGGAATACATGACCCACAGAGTACTCGGACAGGAGCATGTAATGCACAAAATGCTTGGGTCAGGTGAGTTTAATATGCAGAGCACAGGGGTCAGAAGTAACCTCCTAGCACAAATCCCAGCCACATTCCTCCTTCTAGTGCAAGTCCTCTCCCCCCTAAATCCTCTCTCCCAGTATTAATTTTCTCCAACCAAATCCCACTTCCAAACACAAATCTCCCACCCCAATCCGCCTCCTAGCACAACCCCCCACCAAATTCCACCTCTGCAGCACAAATCTGCTCCCCTTACAATCCCCCCACCTAGCGCTAAATCTATTCCATCCCCCTTTTCCTAGCACAAATCCTCTCCTCCAATCACAAATTTTCTCCTTTCCCAAATCCCCCCAGCACAAATTCTTGCTCCCTCAAATTCCCCATCCCCAGCACAAATCCTCTCCCCCACAGAACAAATGTTCCTCCCAAATCCCTTCCCCCAGGACTTGTTTTCTCCCTCCTAGCACAAATTCTCTTTCCTAGAACAAGTTCTTCCCTCCCCCAACCCCCCCAATACTAACCCTCTTCCCTCAAATCCCCCTTACTAGCCTTGATCCTTTTCCTTCCCTGGCACAAACCCTCTTACTCCCTAAACCCTAAACCTTCCCCCCAACACAAACTCTTTTCCCCCAATCCTTCTTCCCAGCATAAATTCTATCCATAAGCACTATTTCTCTCCTTCCCTTTCCTCCCAGCTTTATTCCTCTCATTTCCAAATCCACCCTCCCATTACAAAACACCTCCCCCCCAACAATCCCTAATCTCCCCCCCCTCCAAAATCTCACTTTCCAGAACAAATAATATTCTCTGCAAACTTTTGCTCTTAGCACACATCCTCTTCCCTCCAAATCCTGCTCCAGCACAAATCCTCTTCCCCTGACACAAATCCTCTCACCATGCCAAATCTCCCCTGCTCACACTAATTCTCCTCCTTGCCAATCCCCCCTCCCAGATCATATCCTTTCCAACCAAATCCCTCCTCCCCAGCACAAATCATTTCCACCACCAGTCAACCTCCTAGCACTAATCCTCCCTCACCCCATTGCACAAACCTCACTACACAAATCTTCTCACCCCTAAATCCTCCCTCCCAGCACAAATCCTCCTTTTCCTTCCCCCAAATGCCTTCTCCCCAGAACAAACCCTTTCCACCACCAATTGACCTATTTTCACTAATTCCCTCTGACTCCCCTGCACATACCCTACAACACAAATCTTATCACCCCCTCAAATCCTCCCTTCTAGCACAAATCATTTCCTCTAAAAATACTCCCTCCCAGCACAATTCTTCTCTCCCCCAAATTCCCCTCTCAGCACAAATCCTCTCCCCCAATTTGCTTTTCCAGAACACATCACCCCACCTCTAAATCCCCAGTACAATCACCATTCCCCAAAATTTACAGACCTCAGATATTGCAAAGCATGGGAGACTTCCTACCTCCCAGACTCCTCATGTATGTCATGTGACACATCAGAACCAAAGAGCAGCCTATGGGAAGCTTTCCTTAGCTCTGTACTATGTGACAAGCAGCTGCAACTGGCAGAGAGTGATGCAGCAGCAATGGTGGGTGACTGTGGTGTCAGGGATCAAGAGCACTCCACAGGAGATGCAGTGCACATGCCTTGTGTGCCTAATGCTAGCAACTCCCCTGCTCTGCAATGCCTTTTATATGTGGTTATGCCCTTTCTGACTAGCTTCTACCCAAGGTCGTACACAAACAGGCTCACAATGCCTACAAAGGTTGCATGAGGTAGCCTGTTATTTTTCAGAATGTACATGTGCTCCAAAATGTGGTTGATTGTAAATCTTCAGTTCATGCCACATCAGTCAACTATGCCCAGATCTTGCTTTGGGCACATTGGTATGGTCATACTTACTAACAAGGAGGATAAACTGAAAATGCAGATTTTAAATAGATATTTAATTTTTATTTTAAAGTGGCCACAGCTTTTCTGGTATTCTAGCATGTAGAACTTTACAAAATGCACTTCTCAAGAACAAATAGTATTTTGCATAGATAGTAACTTTCAATTACAATATTTTCAGAACAAGATTAAAAATCTGGCATATTTTCTTTAAGACTATGTTTCCCGTTATTATATAAAGTGCTGAGCAAACTGTTTGGCACTATAAATCCTGTATTATAATAATAAGAAGAAAAGAAGAAAAAAAGACCATTGAAGTCAACTGGATAAGAATTTTGAATTTTCAAGGCTCATAAGGCAAGGGATTTTCAAAAGAGCATGGGGATCTGGGCACCACCAGGGAGCACAAATACAAATGCAAAATGTTAAAAAAAAAATATTTTGGTAGGGAATCTCTCTTCCAATTGGGCTTAAAGTGAAACATTAAAAATGCAGATTCCCTTTAATTACTTGGATGCTTGGAGGATGTCTTAATCCTGCCTGTGAAATGATGCTTTTGTAGGTTTTTATGCAGCAAAAGGGACATTTAGAAAGAAAAAATACAATTTGCTGTTAAATGATAACCCACCCTTTTTCTTTTGTAAAAATGGTGACCCCCACAAAGC